TCACGCTGATTAAAGATAATTTACAAGTTGTTATTCGTAACTTTCGATTTATCAATTGAAAAAATTTCATCAGTTTAGGAAGTCTAAAAATGAAAATGATTAACCGTTTTGAGCAATGCAATATTATCTCTCAGAGCACCAAGGGATCCCATTAACGAAACAATGCATATGGCAAGTCCAATTATGGTGAGCACAACGGCCGGATTCAGGAACACATCTGCCCACTCGGTTATCGGCCGTGGATCCTTGATGCACAAATACACTCCGAGTGCCAAACATGTCACACCGATAAGCTGCAACTCACGATTATACACTTATTTGCAAAATGGTAATCATTCATGAAATATTATGAAATACATCTGGAAGTTTACACTGATTCGGTGATTCCTCAGAATTGAATCAATAATTGAAATTTAAATCTAAAAATTTGAATAAAACTAGAATCGTTTTACTACTACTTTTTTTTACTTTATTACTTTAAAGGTTATCAGTATCTTGACTAGATTTGAAATGAACCTCATATTTAGGAACTGGAATGGTTTTGTTTCATTTTCTTTTCAGCTTAAGATTTAACCTTTTCTTCTTTGCTTTGTTTACCATACTGATCTAAAATCATTAGTAAATAGCTTGTAAACAAAGCAAGCACCACTATGCAAACGTACAAAGACTAAGAAATTGGCGATGAAACAGAGCCATTTGAGGGGCGCACAGATTTCTTGACGTGGTTTACGTTTCTTCGGTTCGTTCAGTAAATGTTTGTTACGATTCTGATTGATGGCCGTCGGCTGCAGGCCAAAACGGCCGTACTCCACCGACGGCATCAGAAGATGGTTCTCCTCCACTCCAACCAAAAATGTGAGCCTAAAAAAAATCCAAATTTATTTATCTAAAATTTCTACCATCAAAATTACTGGTTAAACAAAGAAGAAAATTGGATTACTATTTAACGAGTATATTGAACAAATTCGATTTCATGAATACCTGATTTCGGCAATAGTAACTTGACATAATGTTGGTTTGCTATTGCTTTCAAGTAATAAAAAGTTTATTGCTACATACGCTTTTTTATGTGTATGTATGTATATGTGTGTGTATGTGTATGTGTATGTGTGTGTGTGTGTGTGTGTACGTGTATGTATGTATGTGTATGTATGTAAGTGTGTGTGTGTACTTATTGTGATCTAGTATTACTGAAATACGCTCTCAAATAAACAAAATATCAGTTAGAAATATAACATATAAGGCATAGAAATTAATTCCTAATCCAATCTTCCTTATTTCATTGAAATATAAAGTGCACTCCTCGCTTGTTTGCTATTTAGTCCATCAAATTAAAGCTAACATTCCGAACAATCAAATTGCTAAAGCAGTGAAAATTTAGACTGGATAATCTTACAGACTAATTTAATTTAACGTTTGGATAAGTTGAGATAAAAGTTTCAAATTCAAAATAAATTGATCTCGAAATGGTTTTTTTTAATTGTCCGCTTCTATATCTATCTATTTTTAAGAGGACTTGTAATTAGCTTGCCAACCACTTCTCAGCAGCTTCAAATTGTAATGAAATGATGGCACAGAATCAGAACAGAGAGCTTGATATTATTGAATTTGATATATTGGAGCACTGTTCAAAGTCTTAGCACTCGTCTTAGCACTATTCAAAGTACCATATTATACCATATTAAAGTTCTGAGAGAAATTAAAATTTTAAGTAATGATGAGAGTATCTATATTATAATAATCGTTATCCTTATTGTATTCACAATCATTTTATCTAATTTAATTAATTTTTAATACAACAAATTTCTGCTGATCTATCTTATTACAAGGATGAAAAATTTATTGACGAACAAAAAAAAATTTAAAATAAAAAAAAATTCCTCTGAGGAAGCATTTGGGTGTTATTTGGAAAGTGTCGTTTCCTTTTGAGTGCCACTGTGCCGAAAACTATTCTCAGCTCTCGCAAATCAACGTCGAACGTATATTTAAAAAATAAGAAAAAAAAACTGGCTTGCAGGTTTCAAAGGTATATATTATTAGGAAATTTCGGAATAATCAATAATCAGAGTTTGTAATAAATCAGGATTATAATCAGGATTTGTATTATCATGCAGAAGAAGCTTGTTTGTTGGCATGAATGAGCGTGAAATGAGACGGTGAATTAACTTATCTAGCTGTCAATAATTAAGATCGTCTAGGCTCGATCAGCTAGCTCACAGAGACAATATTTTTTAGACCATAGGGTTTTCGGGATATCAAACTTCAGCATTATTCAATCCTTGCCACATCAGCAGAAATGTTTGAATTGTGAGACTGATAATTTATTTTCCAATATAGCAAGGGGAATATGCATAAATTGTTGGCTTGAAATTTTGAAATAAAAGACAATAAAATTCTTCAAATTTTTGTAACTTAAAGAAAACTTTCAAACATGAACAAGAAAATTTTTTGGGATCTTTCTTTAAGTCTTTTCCACAGGGTGATTTTTTTGGCAAAAATTAAGGAAAAAATTGAAAAGAAAGAGAAAGAAAATAGGGGTAAACCACAATGTTGAAAAGCGTGGGTGGTGTCATGGAATTTAATTATATTCCATGTGCATACCGTTCTTTGGGCATCAACAATAGGCTGAAGTGAGTATGGGAAGTTATAATTCATTTTTTCAGAATATTTGTGCGTAAATCCTGCGGATATATTATTAAAGAGTAAAAAGCACTAAAAAAGACAACAAAAAGAATTGTGTGCGACTGAATTTTGCACCAAAGATTCGTTGCGTCAATTGCCATAAAATTTTTCTTCAGTACTCTTATAAAAAGGAAACTGCATCCAACTATAATTATAGGTAACTTCAAGCCAGAAGTTTGAAGAGAAGCAGAGAAAAATAATTCTTCTGTACCATTGTAATAATATTAATACATAATAATTTTGGTTTCAAAAAAATTGTAATAGTTTGTAAATTAAAAGAGGAAAACAAGTTAGTAAGCGGTAATTCTACGAAACAAATATGATTGATAATCACTAATGTTTGATGCTTAGACGACGAAAGTTTGTCAAATTAACAGTTTTGAATTAAGAAAGAAATTTGTCATGTGGTATAAATAGTATTCAATAGTATTTAATGATATAACACTTTAATAGTATTTAAGATTTAACTCAATCAAGATGCTAAACTAGTTCATTTTAATGTAATGTCCGTTTTTGGCTCGAAGATTTTTGTTTTTTGTTTTATTTGTAATCATAACAATAAGTAACACATTAAATGGAAAAGTTGCCAGAAACCCTCGCATATCGAGAAAATTGGTTTCAGACCGCTCAAATGCTTGAAAATCTCAGAAAGTTAAAAAAAGAGATCCACAGAATATTTCCAATCAGTATGTTCTACGACAGTGAGTTATGAGATTAGACCCTTAAAACAAAAATATTGTTAGGTGTAAAGCAACAAATAGATTAGAACCCCATACTTCTTCCCCAACTTGTAATAAGCCGAAATTAAATAAAATTTGACTAATTCAAAAATTATTCAAAGAGGAAAAAGAAAATAATGGCACAAATGGGGTAATTTGGTTGAAAAAATCTGATGGCAGTTTGTAAAATTTTGAGCAAAAGATCGAAAGAATGAAAGAGTGTGATACGAACGGACAGATAAGAGTTTTTTCTTTGTGTTGCCAAAATAGGAAACAAGGTTAGAAGTATGTCCTAGGAAAAAATACCTTCCACTAATATCATTCGGAAATTTTCCTTCTCTGTTTTTTTTTTCAAATAAAATTGTCCTTTTTACATCAAATAAGGGTAAGTTTTTCTGACCAATTAGCTACTTTCGTCGTTTTTTTTCTTCTTTTGTTTTTCTCTCTCTTTTTTTGTCCCTCTGTTTGTTGCTAATGATAAGAAAGAAAGGTCAAATTTCTCACTGCTAAAGGTTAATCTTTTGAACTATTAAACTCAGCGCAGTATTAATCGATGGAATCAATTTCCTATAATAGATATATTGAGATAATTTTCAAAATCAATTTGATAAAGAATAAAAGAATTGTATTGGATAATTTTAATTTTTTTTAAATGAGTGCTTTAGTTCAACTAAAATTTTCAATAGTTTTGTGAAACAGCGAGGAAGAATTTACAAAACGTATACATAACATTAATAGGATCCAAATGTAATATGAAATTTTAGGAAAATCGATAAAAGAGATTTAGAAATTTAATGGAAAGATGTACAATTGTCATAATTTGAAAAGTGGCAAAATGCAAACAAGTTTTTAGAGAAAATAATTTTACTTTCCATAACTTCATAATCAACTTTCCATTACCGTAGGGTATTTTTGATAAACATTCACAACAAGAAATAATTTTATTCCGCTAACTGTTAAATTATTTTTTTACTGCATTAAAATAATTTAAATTTAATGCAAAAGAAATCACAAAGCCAGTTACTTCTCCACTCTTATATCTCTTCTACCTTTAATTAATTTCATCGAAATAAACTGATATTATGAAGGTTGAGCAAAAGCAATGTCGGGGATTAAAAAGTCAGAGATAATATAAAAATTGATTAATCACAATTCATTAAAGAAATAATAAACCAGTGAGAAATTTGGAAGATAACTGCTTGCAAATTTTTGAAAGAAAATTTTGTCCTTCAAAATGAATTCAAAAAGAATCAAATGATTTTTTAGTATATAACTAAATGTAACAAAATTCGGAAAATTTATTTAACATATCACTCTCGCTCTGCTAATTTTGATATTAGCAGAGCGAGAGTGATACGTTAAACGGAAAATGAGGTGGAACTGCCCTGAAATATTGCGCTGCTTAGAGACAACCGCCTCAGAATACAGTCATCTTACAGGGCCATTATATTAGATAGAGTGTATATGGCAATGTGGTTTGAAGGGCCAATTAATCAACCACAGTGGCACTCAATACCGAATTCTCTCTCTCTCTCTCTCTCTCTTTTCCTCTTCTTCTCTTCCTCTCTTCCTCCGTCACTTGTCCCATACCTCAGCAACTCTTTTGATGGATGGATGGATGGGTGGATGGATACACAAACAGGCTGACCGATCAGCGAGAAAATAATAATGGTGTATAATTCGAAACAGACGACTCAAGCGTTAAGCAATCACGGAATGACAGTTCAGGTGTGATTCAAATTGAAAATTAAGAATGATATTTTCATTGAAGAATATGTAATCAGTCTAAAGAAAGACAATAGTACTTCCTTCGTCAATTTTTGAATTGCTAACAAACAAAAAAAACAATTGTTATCTATTTATCTGTCCACATATTTCACTTATTAAATTATCAGATGATTTTTTTCAAATGATTCTGTGTCTGTAACTGGTCATATTTTGAATCTCACATTGATACTACAATGCATAATCCGACTTTTGTCTCTATCAGTTAATTACAAATCTTTAAATATGATAAGAAACTGGAGCTATACATGGAAATTTAAATTCAAGTGTAACTGATATTGGAATAGGCGATTTATAAAGTGTAGCAAAAGACTGGAAATATTGTTTATTGTCATTAACTTAAGGATAGAATAGAGGACTGTTTGGCGATTATGTATGGGGTTTGTGAGAACCAAATTGGAGCAGGCAAAAAGTGGCACACAGGTGTGGTTTAACTGGATTTTTGATTGTACAGCGAAGAAGGTAGAAGAGGAGAGAAGGGCTGAACTGAACTGCCCTCATTCCACATTTCCAGATGTTTTAGTTGTGAAAAAAATTGATACTTCCCGATATAATACACACTATGTTAGAATAACTTGGAATGTGCCAATTGAAATTAAACAAAACGTTCGGAGATAAAAAAAATGAAGCAATGT